ACTGGTTCAAAACTACTTTTGAGGCGTGTTTAAAGGCCAACGGATCAATGAAACATAAACCAACACACTTAGAATAACTTAAATTTTTGGCAAAATACCTCGCAAATGTTCGAAATGTCGTCCATAAACCTCGATGCATTTCTTTAATCTAGTTTCGACGGAAAAAGCGCTGTTTAAGTCTCCGTCCTGGACACGTTTCTAATGGCATTTATTAATATTTTGTCATAATTTCCCTTGTTATTGGCTTTTCTTGAAAAGTCAGGTCGTTTAGTCCACCCCATAGATAAAGGGGTGAAAGCAATGTGAGTTTTGATCGAACCAAGAATGCATATTATGCAAGTTTACACCAGCTTGTTGAGAGATGTACATCCACAGCATTTATAATAAAAGGTTTGGATTTGCCCGAATCATATTTAAATGTCAATGATAAGTTCAGTCTGTTATCATAATCGGTATCTGTTAAAACCTGATGTAAAATAATGTGGTGGAGATATTATTCTCTTGAAGAATCTTGTAGAGAATTGTTTTCGGGGTTTCCAGATTATGTGGGATCGCGTTGTGCACCAGTGTGATTTACGAATTTATAGAGTTGTCTGAAAGGGCTACACGTTGCCAATTTCACGTAATCGCCAATCTTAAAAACATTATTATTGAAAAATGTCTTTCCATGTCGTAATTGCATTGCACATTTTTGCCATGCAATTGCATCATATTCAAAACATTGAAAATACATCATCATACGCTTCTGCGTTAGTAAATGACATGTTTACAGTTACCATGGTTATGTGATTTGTTTTTTTCGATGAGGTAACTGGTCGAATTACGAACTTCAAAATAATTTCCAGCTATTTCTTTTGCCCACTTTGCCTATAAGGATTTTTTTCCCAAACTTCTAGGCCTTATCATTGTCGATATACAGCCGCTCCGTACCCTTAACGGGACATCCTGTACATCTTCTCAAATAAAGGATGGTCACACCGAAAAGGACGTTTTTGTAATAAGTCATACATAGAGCGGTGGATCAGACAATGTCGCTGATATCTTCAAGTCACCTTTGTCATACCATGACTAGCCATGTGCTGCCAAGATGCAGTGTTTTTTTTGACAAAATTATCACTATTGATCACCTGATAATCCGTGAGAATTACACAGTCAAAATGTAACTGTGTCGTGTAGAGAACAGCCCCTGTAACATTTTTCGTTGGGTTGTCTGAAGGTTAAAGAGTATGTCAACAGAGAATGGTGGAGTAATGTTATCTTGATGTTTACATTGAAGAATTAAAGGTTATTTAGTTTTATTTATTAGAGTCTTTAATTCATAATATTAAGACAAAGGAGATGAAGCTCCTTTTCTCCAGGATTAAGAGGAAAAATATTGTAGTCTTAACAAACAAGAATTTATCCAACTATGGTACCTTTTTGACCAGGTTGGTTATGAATACATTTACATTATCTCTATTAACACTGAGATGTCACTCTCTTTGCATATCCTTTCCAGTATTAGTATATCCACTTTGTTTACTCCAGATTACAAAACGATTGATGGCTAAGCGATGTTTCCTGTCCGGAATGTGTCTTGAATAACATCTGCTTTCATAGAAAAGAAGAATCCCATCGATAGCTTAATGTTAAAAAGGGAAGAATGGTTGTTCTCTGAATTTGTCAATGTGAATTAGTCTTATGTTCTCAAGTGAGTCATTGACACACGTCTATAATATTTATATGAGAATGTGCAAACAAATTTTACATAACACTAATCAGTGTATATCACCCTATCAATCTTGATGATTTTTATTATTGAACACCATCATAACTCAAAAATTATAAGCTATGTAGATAAATGTTTTACATAAAAATGACTTATAATGGACCAAACCAGATAACCTTATAATTCCTAACCGGGCATAGCACAGTTTTAACGATATTCTAGTTAACAAAGGAAAATCTTAAAAATATTAAAATTACTATTTTCGTTATTAAAATCGGCATTAAGTTAAAAACTAAAAGAAATGGAAAGAAATATTTTACATATAAATTGTTTGCAACGATCCAAGAATACATAATCCATAACCGGATCTAGTTCAATTGTAACAATATTCTAGTTCCACAACGATAATCCTGCTTGAATGATTTTTATTATTGAACTTCATCATAACTCAAAAATTATAAGCGGTGGAAATAAATGTTTTACATAAAGCTTACTTATAATGGACCACAGAGGCATAATTTATAACCCGATTTCAATCAGTTATCACTATATTTTAGTTAAAAACTGAAAATCTTAAAAATATTACCTTAAGCCAAAATCTAAAGAAATGGAGAAAAATATTTTGCATATAATAAAAATATCATTGCAAACAACAATGATCCAAGAATACATAATCCGTTACTAGATTTAGCCCATTTATAAGCATATTCTCGATAGGAAGTAGAAATCTTCAAAATGGTAAAATTCATGAATTTCGCTATTAAAGTCGGCCTTAAGGTCAAAACTAAAACGAATAGGAAAATGTATTTTGCATATAAATTGTTGGTATTAAACCAAAAATACATAATCTATAACCGGATTTAGCTCAATTGTAACTATATTTTAGTTCCAAGGTTATAATCCTCAAAACATCGAAATTGAGGATTTCCGTTATTGGTCTCCATCGTAGTCAGAAATTATAATCGATGGAAAAAATTGTTTTACTTATAATGAACCAAATCCATAACCAGAATTAGCACAGTCATAACCATAGTCTAATTGTATCTCAAATATAATTATTTACGTGAAGAGGACCAGAAAAATTACACTTGCAGACGAAGCTTTTAGTCCTTATTTACAGTGCACGTTTTTTTAACTATACCGGCCTCTCATCAAAGCATTTAAGATTTTTATTTCATAAAAAATTAAAATTTCTCAAAATATTGTTTTTAATCTTAGTTTTACAGATAAAGCGTGGTTAAACACTCATAAATAACGTCAAGGTTGATTGAGAAACAATATCTATATAGATAGTTGTATGTATAGCTTTTTCAATAACTTGATTTCTGAATTCTAAGTCGTTCTTCGGTCCATCGAGAATTAGAACGGCAAACAAGGACTGTCGGTAAACATGCCGGATCATTTAACTGGGAATTATCGCCGCGCCACTAAATTCTTTGTAAACGTCGTCCGTTCGCTCGAGCTCTTTATAATATCCGATGGCTCCGCGGCGCGTAAGTCGTAAAAGTTTTTACGGGAAAATTTCGAAACTCGCGCTTTACTAGCCATAAACTATACGTAACCATGCCACCTAAGTCGTCAATTGAAAAAGGAGAAGAAAGAAAAAACCGTACTATATTTCTTCATATTTCTATGTCGACGAACGCGACGTAGAATCAATCGTCTCTTCCGTGCTTCGTCCAATCAACCAGAACGAGACGGGAAACCCATCGAACGGAGACGGACTTCTTGCGCTGTCGAATGTAGTACCGCATAAAAAGCGGACTCTCATTTCGCCAATTATTAATGATAATATAATTCGGGCGCGGAATAAATAATTAATTTATAGGTATGGTCGTATTGTGTGTTAATGAACGTACAGAAAAACATTCCAAAACATTGTTGCGCGTCGTTCTTCTTATGCCGTCGGGAAATTCTACCACTTTAAATACTTGCATGTTAAAATGTCTATCTAATTTTAAGTATTAAACCTCATCTTAAGTATTGTGGTTTATTAAATGATCAAACCAGTCGGATTTGAATATTAAATTTACTATTTAGTGCTTATAAGCTGTCATTTATATTTAAGCTATGAGCTATGTTAGCGATAACTTTTTTTTTGTGTCGAGACTTAAACAAATTGAATAATTAGTGAGGACTTAATTTGATTTTTTATTAAATCTTTGAAGAATAATATATATGTGTATGGAGGTATGGAGAATCGTTATTTTTTTGTTGTTCCTCGGTTAACCACAGTAATTAACATTTCCTAAAAATTTAAATCGATAATTAACCGACGAATTATTCGGAATGTCCGCACTAAAAAGGGACCGTACGGGGAGCGATACCGTCGATATATGTGAAGAAGGCCCCCGACGTCGCCGGCATCTTTTGGTTCTCGGAATTGTCGTAATCGGCAAAAAGCGTGCGCTCACCACAACTGAAAATCGCCCTGAAAGTCGCGTTCCCGACGTTGACGGGGTCATCCACAGCCCGTCGTCATCCGCGTAGGCTGCCAGAGGGCGCGCGCGCGGTCTCTACTCGCGGCCGTAATCTTTCCATCGGAGGCAGCCGCATCCAGAAAGAAATTCAATCGTGATCTATCGATTTAGCCGTTAACCGGCCGAAGGTCTCTGAACCGCACCGAGATATTGTCGATAGGTGAGGCGACGAACCTCGGACGCCCGTCGTCGACCGCAAAACAATCATATTTATTTTATAGCAAGTCGCCAAGAAATAGCTTCAAGCTTTTTACAATCTAACAAAATTACAAATTCAAGTTACAACATTTTAACATTAAATAGTTTGGGGAAATGAACAAAATGAGATTTTGATCAAGTTAATTTTAATAGTAGATAGGTAATAAGTTTCTTGCTGTTGATGGAAAAGGTGAGGTTTCTAATGTGAGGTGGAGAGAGCGTTCGAAAGATGTGAAAACATGCCTCCCGAAGGTAAACGCGGCGCAATTCGTCTCAGCGCATTAATCAACAGGCCTGGACTTAAAATGTATTTCTGTCAACCGGCTGAAAAAACAAATTACTCCACACACACAGCGGCCGCTACAGCTGCGGCGGCGGCGAGCCGGGACCGCCATTTTGAATTCGATTCGGCAACAATGGGGCTCCTTTTTTGACCTCCTCCTCGCCCTCCGACTTGTCGTCCCTGCGATTCCGACAGCAAGAATTTGTTTTTCTACCCGTCGTTGCCCGCCCGGTTATTCGCTAATGGCTAACGCGTCCGACCGCTGCTCCCTGCGAAAATCGCCCTTAATCGATCCGATTTTACTTTAACACTGACATTTTGCCTTTCACAGATCCACATTACCGTCTTGGACAAGAACGACAGCCCTCCCGCCTTCGAGGAAGGCTCGTTACTCTTCAACGTCTCAGAAGACATGAATGCAGGCCTCTCGGTGGCTACGATTAGAGCGGAAGACCCGGATACGCACGGAAAATTACAATATACTCTTATATCTGGCGGCGACAACAGCTTTTCCTTGGACCCGCTCAACGGTGTCTTAACGTTGACTGATTCACTAGATCGTGAAACTAAGGACTCGTATCAATTGACGATCAGAGCAAGCGATGGTGTTCAACATACCGATACCACTGTTCTAATACAAGTAAGTAGAGATCTAAAATCTGAAAGAGAGACAGAAATTTGTTTTAAACGAAATACAAAATATAAACGTGAATGTAAAATTTTTTTTTTAAGTTAAGTTACTGACAAAAAGCTTCTTAATGTTTTCAGTTCCATATGTTTCCTAAAATCATTAGGTGTGATAAAATCCAGTTTAGAAAAGGTTTATAAAAAGTTTCTTTTTTGTCCTTCTGATTAGCATATCTAGCACCTGTTCTAACGACCAATAGAGTATAAAAAATAGATAAAAACAGCTCAGTTTACATTAATTTACATCGCATATTTTATTGCTGCTTGCTTAATTTTTTCATCGATGTTTTCTTAATGAAATGTTATTCTCAGTTTAAACATATCTAATCATCGCCACTAGAATAATTTATTAATTTTCGATATAATTAACTAAGATTTTATCTTCCTGAGAGTTTTGTTAAATTTACGTAAGAATGTATATATACATAAATTGTTTGCGAACTTTAAAACTTTTTCTTGTAATGAATTCATTGAGGGTTTTTTTATGAAAACGAAAAAATTAATATCTCTAGAAATGAAATCTCGACTTCATAATGATGTGTAAATGAACAGTACCAAACAGAAAAGTCTGATATTGTGTTATTTTGGTATTAGTAAAAAATTGTCGAATTCTGAAAATTACTGAAGCTTTATGAAGCATAATATAATTATACTATTTTTTAATTCGGAGGAGTGTTTTCAAATTGAAGCGCCAAAAAGAAGGGCTGCTATTCGTCAGTTTTAAGCAAAAATTACACTAGGAAAATTCGAGATGTTGCCGGCCGCCTAGAAACATTCGGGTTAGCCGCACGTCTCTCAGTATGGCTAAACCAGAATGATGATGAAACCTAATTCTAGGTCTTGTGTTAGTTCTAGTGATAGTGCTAGTGCAAAACTAGAACTAACACTAGACCTAGAACTAGAAATGTTAAGAGATAAGTAATATAAAATAGACCTCTTGACCTCTAAGTTTTTTTAATAATTACCTTTATTTACTTGGTACTAGTTTCGACATACTAACATGTCATCAAATCAGAAACTACAAAACAATACAATAATTATAATGATCTTAAAAAAAATGCAAAATTAAAACGATATTACAAACCTATGGTGTGTTTGTTAGCTTTAAATATAAAGGACAACTAGGTGATTCCATTTCTAATTACAAACAAAAAGAAAACGCTTTAGATTGTAGCGGACCTGTTAAATGTTGTGATTGTCCTGCTATATATGTTGGTCAGACCGGTCGAAAATTACAAAAAAGATTATGCGAACATAAAACCAGATGTACTTCAAACATTTGCAACCATAAATTACATTGACTATAACATTGATTACGAAAATGCACAATTCCTACACAAATGTAAGAAAGGTTTGAAAATGAATTTCCTTGAAATGTTCGAAATCGATAAATTTAAGCATAATGATAACTATCTTATTTTAAACGATCAAATTGAAAACTATTATAAACCATTTCATGCCTTTTTAAAAAAATAATTTCCTCTAAAAATATCTTACTGTGATATTTTTATTCCATCTTAGTAACCGGTTTTAAATTTTGTTCGAAGTTGATTTTACAGTTGTATTTAGAGTTCAATTGTGTCTCTTATTTAAAATAGTTATTTTCGTGTTTCTTTCTGAAAAAATGTTTTATATTAACTTAGAATTTTGTTTGTTCAGCGTAATTTTTTAACTATATGACTTTATGCAGTTTTATTATTTTTTAAGATCATTATACAGGTGTCCTTAAATGACCTGTACAGCGAAAGACCACAAGTACCTTGACCAAAAGTATAATGATTTGACTCAACTTATCTATATATAAAATTGCTTAGTTTAGTCGCTAGAGGGCTTTAAAAATTCATAATGAATCAAAGATAAAACGCTAAACGAAAATTTGTTTACACTCGTAAAAGCGTCCTTACATCACTCATTCGCGTTTGTAGGGATTTAGAAAATGTTTTTTTGTGGCTAAACCGTTCACCCAACTGAAATTTTGTAAGAGCTAGTGTAAAACTAGAACTAACACTGACCGAGAACTAGAAACATTCTCTAGTTCGTTAGATACTTTCTAGTTCTAGGTCTAGTGTTAGTTCTAGTTTTAGTTCAATAAAAATATGTAACATAGTGATATTTTATGCTAAGTAGCACTACCTACCAGCAACCGTCTTAAGAGAGGTACAGTTATTAGTGAGAGAGGTCGGTATTAGTCTAGTTTCATTTGCTATTCAGCGCTAGATTATTGTACCTATATTTTTATTGAGCTATAATGGACACTGCCTTCCCCGTATTAGTCCGTTATTTCGAGGTTTTAGTTTTACATTTTTAAATTTTGTTAATAAAGTTACAGATTGATAAATTTTAAACATAAATTTTTAACCTCACAAATTTTTTAATGCTTTCGGAATTTTTCCTATGATACGCCTATGCTTATTAGTTTTCTCATACCAGCCTTAAAAATTAAATGCAAAAGCGGGAAATTCAAACACCTTACAATCATTGTTGAACGTTCTGTATGTTATGTCTTGTTTGTAGTCTCCAGCGACTTACAGCCAATACATTTCATGTTACCAAAAAATGTGTATGTATGTATGCCCGTGTTTTGTTAATCCCTTCATCGAAGACTCACATTTCAAGCCCACCACTTTTTCCTTTAAGAAGCTACGATGCCGTTGAAATCAGATCGATTAAAAACCCCGAACGGGCCGAATTTTGCGAAAGTTAGAAGAAAATCGATTTTCCCGGACTATAGGAATGGTTAGGAAAATGTTCTTTACGGATTTGAAACAAGAGGTGACCAAGAATACGATTTTTTTAATTAAATTCGTTAATATCTTAAAGACCAAAATCGATAGCATTGAAAAGATGGTTTAAACTAAACTCAAAATCCAGTTGTTTAAACAATTCCAACCTGGTTATTGGATATGATGTAATTATTAAGCAAATATTCCCAAAATTTCAAAATTAACGAATTTCTTTATAATAATTGATTAGCTATAATCTAAAAATGATAATTTATGGAGTTAACACACTACACGTAAATTTTGTTCATATTGACTCAAAAAAAGCATAATCAATAACCATCTTAAACTTTACTAAATAAACAATATTTGTCATTAAAAGTAATGAAGGTTATTCTGAAAGTGGAGTTCAGAGTGAATGCCAAATAAAGATTCATTAACAATTTAAGTTAGAAGTAGGTAAATAATTTAAAGTTTGATTCTGTACTTTTATACTGGTTTTTATGTAATATAGAGTTTAAGTCTGACTAGTTTCGGCCCTTGGCCATCTTCTGAGACTATTTCTTATTCTTTTGTTAAAAAGATCACATATCAAATTTGAAGGTCAGATTATTAGTTATTAGTACATGCGTAGTAAAAATTGAAATATTATTGAGTAAAATAACGCAACAATAGTACTGAAATTTTCACCTCGTCCCACCTATTTTTTTTATTACTTGATTTTTATTTCTCGGCGATGATCTCAACACAATATACATAAATACTCCATCACCGTCCGGGTCGTACATCCATACACATGTCCGTCCATTCATGCAAAATACGACGATTTATTTCGTGCCGGGCCCGCGCCGCGCCGCGCCGCTCCGTTCTATTTGGTGCGCCGCCGCGCCGTCGGCGGAGCGAAAAAGAGACGATGGCGACGGCGGTGGCGGCGCATCATTAATAACGCGCAATCCATCGAAGCCTTCATATCTTCGGTCCGCCACCGTCCGCCAGCAGGAGGACCGTACCAGCAGGCGCGGCGAACACAAAAATCGAAACATGTTCCCGTCGACGGCCGATTAATCACGCTCCCGGTCCCGTTACGCGCCCGAATCTTAACTTGTTCTTCGTCTTCTTCAACAGGTTACGGACACGAATGATTCTCCCCCGACATTTACCGAAACGGCGTACTCGTTCGATGTTCCGGAGAATGCTCCCAGAGGATCTCGTGTTGGACAGGTGAAAGCTAACGATGCCGACTTAGGATTTAATTCACAACTGACCTACTCGGTCATTAGCGATTGGGCCAATGACGTGTTTTCTTTAAATCCACAAACCGGAGTCTTTACTTTAACATCTAAACTTGATTACGAAGAGGTACAACTAAATCATGTTTTTTTTATCTAAAAGTATAAGTTTTTAATCTTTAGGTACAACATTATATCTTGGTGGTTCAAGCACAAGACGCCGGTCATCCATCTTTGTCCAGCACTGTAACAGTGTACTGTAACGTGTTGGATCTAAACGACAACGCGCCGGTTTTCGATCCGATGTCTTACAGCAACGAGGTCTTCGAGGACGTCGTCGTCGGAACCAAAGTGTTTTCGGTGAGCGCAACGGACTTGGATTCAGGTAAGTTTTCGATGAATGGGGTTGAGAGATGGATACGCGGCGTGGCTCACTGGCGAGGTCACGACCATACGGGGCGATGTGAATCATAAGGTCCGAGCGTTGCTGGGGCCCATGTCAAATACGCGGCACGACAATGGGGGCCCGAGCGAACCGGAGCAAATCTGTAATAACGCTGTCGCTCCTATGCCCCGGAGTCGTGTTGCGGTCTGCGCTGCGCCGGGCTCGATTTTTTTAAAACCGATCAAGTTGAAGGCTCTCTCGTTGCCATTAGGTTCGTTGTAAACTCCAACGACCTGGGATAGTTTTAAACCATTTTGTTGTAAAGTAATTCGTTGAAAACATTTAATTCATTTCTTGTTCATGTTTTTGTCAGTTTCATATCGCATGATATTAAAGTAACTCTATAGCTACCAGTATATGTACAAGCCTCGCTTCCCACAGTCTTTCGCATAACAATAACCCGGGACCGGTACCGGTCAAAAACTATCTCCACTCCGGTACCTGGCTAAATCATCGGTATCTACATATCAAGGCAGGTCTTAATGGATTCTTTGACATATATTCCCGGTACGTTATGAGGCCGTTGCGGCGTGTCTCGGTCGGAGAACGTGGGCGTACCGGAAAACACGGCGCAGCGCCGCAGGACAAACGCGGTGGAAAACGAGGGAGTGCCCACCGTGAACAACCACCGCCTTTGCTCCTCCTGCTAACGCCCGTTAACGGGAACGAGAAATACCGAAAATATTTCTCCCATTGGTTTCAAATCAAACCACGATATCTTTCCATTATTACAGGTAATAACGGAAAGATCACGTACAGCATAGTTTCCGGCGATGATAGAAACGAATTTAAGATCTCTGAAGACGGCACTGTTTCCACGGCGAAACTTCTCGATAGAGAAACTCAAACGATTTATAATTTGATTATAACTGCTACGGATAAAGCAACAACACCACAAAAGAAATTATCGTCTAGCGCACAGGTATAAATAATGACCAATAATATACATAATGAAAAACCAATTTATTTTTTTTATTTTAGGCTACTATTACATTAAAAGACGTCAACGACGTATCCCCCGAATTTACGTCATCAAACGAAACATCAATCCTAGAAAATATCCCTATCAACACTGTCGTAATGGCAATTAAAGCCCAAGATAAAGACGAAGGTAGAAATGGTTACGTCGAGTACTACTTAACGGAGAATTCCTCAAAAGGGGTGTTTTCTTTGGGTCCCGTCGACGGATTACTTAGAGTTGTTGGTCGAATTGATCGCGAAGTTAAAAGCAGTTATTCTTTAGGGATTATAGCCAAAGATAGGGGAGATCCATCAAGGTCAACGAAAGGAAGGATTTTAGTGAAAGTTTTAGACGAGAACGATAATAGTCCGACGTTTGATCCGCGTCAATATAGCGCATCGGTTGCCGAAAATGCTTCTATCGGTGCTAGTGTTTTGCAAGTATCAGCAACTGATATTGATGAAGGTCTAAATGGAAGGGTTCGATATTCGATTAGTTCAGGAGATGATAACAGGGATTTTAGCATTGCTGAAGACACCGGGGTAATCCGTGTGGCGAAGAATTTAAATTACGAAAGAAAATCTAGGTAAGAAATTTTCTGTATCTATAATAATATCTATCTCCAATTTCTCATATCTTATACTTAAACCTATTTAAGTTCCAAATTTAATAATTATTATAATAAATTTATATCTGAATAACATTAGTAAATACTTTTACAAGTATGTTTTTTATCTTATATTCCGTTATTTTTTTAAATGCTATCATAATTGTTCAGATGTTATAAGAAGGATTTAAACCATAATTCTTCATTAGATTCTCAATCTTACCTAATTTAGTATGTTACCTAATTTAATTTAGTATGTTTTACTCTATATTCCAATGCCTATTTGGAGTGTTGCTCCGTTTCTATTAAATATTTACTGTTGTTTATACAGGGTGTTCCGGTGACTCGGGGCATAAAATTAACCTCATATACTAGACCAAAAATGATGACGATTCGTGAAAAAAAATATTATAAAAGTCTTCAAATGGCCAAGATATGGGCCATCAAAGATCTGAAATTTTAACACATTTTTCTAAATATTTTCAATACCATTTATGGTAGAGCTTTGACATTTGGTACAGGGTTAACAAATATCAAGCAAAATCATTGAACCAATTTTGACTTTGATCGGGCGGTGGCAACCATGCTATACAGATGTTCAAAAACACTCCCGCCGGCATCAATGCACGCTTGATATTGCCGTCTTAAATTAAAGCGCGCTCTGCGGATAACATTGATCTCAGTTCGAAGTTGATCAACTGAAGTTATTTGAACGCAGTAAACTAGCGATTTAACGCGTCCCCATAAATAAAAATCTACAGTTGTAAGACTACTCCTCGTCCAATCCACCGTCCCGGAAAACGTTCCCTCAGAAATTCTTGGACAGCCTGTGTGCTATGCGCAGGAGCACCATCATGCATATACCACATTGCTTGCCTTGTGTTTAAAGGAACGTCATCTAAAAAAATCATCTAATTCCTCTAAATGTCGCCTGTATGTATGTCCATCCAGCCTTGATGGCAAGAAAACGGGTCCAATAATTACATCGCCCACAATGCCAGCAAAACATTAAGAGAAAATCTCCATTGTGATTTCCAAGTTTTCTTAAATCTTGGATTTTCGTCCGCCCAACTATCTAAATTTCTCAAATTGATGATCTTTAGAAAAAGTGGATGCATCTGTAAAAAGCACTTTTTCTAAAAACTGATCATCAATTTGGATTTTGTGCTGCATTATTTGACAATATTGCAGTCGCAGTGGGTAATCAGTAGGTAATCAGCCAGTCGAACTTCCTGAACTTTGAAGAACTTCCTGAACAATGAAATGGATAAAGCTGTTGCTCGTGAAGAACACGCCAGACAGTTGTTTTTGAAGTTAAAAAGTGCCTCGCCATATCCAAAGTACTAGCTGTAATATTTTCATATATTATACAACAAGACGATCGAAAATACTCGATAATACGAGACGATGGTATTGAAAATATTTAGAAAAATGTGTTAAAATTTCTGAACTTTGATGGCCCATATCTTGGCCATTTGAAGACTTTCATAATAATTTTTTTTCACGAATCGTCATCATTTTTGTATATGAGGTTAATTTTATGCCCCGAGTCACCGGAACACCTTATATAATAAAATTAAACGATGGTTATTTATTAAAAATTAGAAACATTTAAATGCAATTAATTTTCATTACTTGGAGGAGTGTTGAGAGTGAAAACCGACTGGACCTGGAAGCACTTCCTATACAGGGTGGTCCATTTAACGTGAGACAAGCGATTATCTCCAAAACGGTTCATTTTACATAAAAATGAACCAAATGAAAGTTGTTCTGTGCGAATGGGGAAACCATATGATGATAACATTTTTTGACCTTGACCTTATTTTCAAGGTCATATGAAGGTCATGGCCAATTTTTTTAATGGCACCCTATGTTTTTGATTGCAAAATCTGAATCTATGGATAAAAGTAAAATAATTAAAAAAAAAAACAAAAATTACCGTGTGCTTTTGCCAGTACGACGGCGAAACATCTTTTGTAGACAAAATCTAAGTAATTTTTTTATTCAAATAGTTTTAAATATTGTTTATTTATTAAAAAATGACTATTAACCAACAACAAGTATAAAATTTGTAATAAATGTTCAAATATTACCCCACCCACTTCAATACATTTATTAACCCTTCTACTAAAACTTTCTTTACATCTTAAAAGGTTTTCTTGGCTACTATTTCTGCATGCATTTCTTATCCGCTCTTTCATGTTTTCTGGCGTAGTCGGTACTTCGCGATAAACATTATCCTTAAGGACGCCCACAAAAAAAAATTAAGAGGTGTTAAATCAGGTGATCTAGCAGGCCAGGAAATTTGACCTCCCCTTCCAATCCATCGCCCAGCATAATCCCGATCTAAAGCTTCCCGTGCAATAATGTACTGGACACCCATCATTTTGCAGCCACATATTTTGTGTTTCTTCCCTGCTCAAATGTACAAGTAACGTTGTATCAATAAAGTATTTACCAGTCAATTTATCACCAATTATGCCACACCAAACATTAACCGACCAAGGTCGTTGATGATCTACTTCACGCAACCATCTCGGATTTTCAACGCTCCAATAGTACATGTTATGTCTATTGACTTCTCCTTTTTTTTGTAAAAGTAGACTCATCCGAGAATAGCACGTTACCAAAGAAATTGAGGTCCAACCGCATTCGTTCTTGTGCCCGTTGACAAAATATTAATCGATTTTCAAAATCACCTCCATAAACCTGTTGATACAATGAAATGTGGTATGGGTGATACTTGTTGCGCTTTAATATTCTTAAAATGCTGGTCTTCGATATTCCGGCGTCAATTGCAAGTCGTCGAGTGCTAACTTGAGGACCTCAACGCTACCTAATACCGCAATTTCTTTTTCTTCTGTAGTTACAGTTGCTCGCCGAGTTCTTTTTCTTGATTCCACATTTCTTAAATATATATTACTTTTTCTTAAATAATATTCTAAGAATTAAGAACTAAAGACAATGAATCGAAAATGTTTAAAAACTCATACATCTTATTTGTTCTTGCTAGATTATAAACGTTAGTTAATTGTTTCTGAAGAAGTTTTAATTTTTTTCAAAAGATGTTTTGCCGTTGTACTGACATAACTGCTGAACCACCTTAACCTTGTGTGCGGCCGTTGAGTCCTATTGGAATGTTCAGGGGCGTCCATTGAAGTGAGACTGGTTTCAAGGAAGCACTGTCTTCATCAAAATCCCATCAAGGTGATTCTGGAAGTTGATCTTGACCCCCACAATAATTAATCCACAAAAATCAGCGGTGTCTTCCCGATCGAAGACACTCCGGCTCAAACCATGACCTGACGACACTGATTCACTTCCTGAACAATTTGCATGAGAATTCTGTCATTTTGGCGGTTTATTGGTTGTTCAATCGTGAATAACTTCTCATCAGTGAAGTGGATGTCTTTGATTTCCGCCGGGGAGAAGCATCTTGGAAGATCATGACATCTCTGAAGGCGAGTGGTCTTCATCTTTCTTTTTCATCGTTTTGTTAAAGAATGAGTCTTTTGCGTCTTGATGCTACGAAGCCCCAAACGATGTTTAACGATCCTGTGCACAGATTCACACCTGATATACTCATTTTTCTGAGACACCTCTTGAAATTCTGACGGACCTTGTGGCGGACACGCTTGACCATGGTGGGAGTCACGGCAGTCTTTGGTATTTCACTTCTAGTATGATCCCCGATGTTACCGGTCTCTCGATAATGACGGATTGTGTATTGGAGTCACCCCGGCCTGGCTCAGCCTGATAATCCTGGCACGGTCTACGTTGGATACCATTACCTGAAAACTCACAATCCTTTGAATTTTTGGAGGAGGCTTTAGTAACAATAAGACGAAGATGCGATCAAAATTTCACATTCATACAATAAAAACAAACAAAGTTACAACATCGTAAAGATAGGCTCCTGGACTTTGGCGACGCCCTGTAGTAAAACAGTTAGCAGAGTCAGGTATCTTTTAATTGAACCCTGAGGTTTTCCTTGCCTACCTAAGAATCACACGCAAATGCCAAACAGTGTAGATCAGTATAGGTAAATTTAGTTAAAAATTTGTTAAATCAGTAAAACCTATAATTTCTTCATTCTTATGATTGGTTGTCTCAAGAAATCCGTAGACGATTGGGCACTATTTGACACAATTTACAGCAATATCGAAGAACCAAAAGAATGTTGTTACACCTAGGGTTTCTGGTACCTAGGTATTCTAATAAACTTTTCTGTCGCTGATTTTGGGTTATAGTTATCAGGCTCGGTTGAGCTCAATTCTGTCTATAACTTTTCTGCAGATTTTTCGGTACTAGTGGCTATTTTTAGCTAATATTTAAATGTTGTAGAATTCTATTTTCAAATAGCGCTCTGTAAGGCAGTGTTAAGTATTCTCTCTAATATCTCTCTCCTGTTTCCATAACTTTATTTAAGACGTCCAAAAATTTATCCGATGTTTGAAAACCATTATTTTACCGTGTTGCCATATAATAAATGTCTTCTCTACGTATCGTGGTTATAACTTTATCCAAGGACTGTTTTGCAAAACGGCTTCCTAAAGTCTTCTGAAATTCATTTACAAAATCGCTCTCAATTGGATTATTTAAAAAAGAAAAACCATTTTGTTCAAAAGATACTATAGTACAAGGAATAGAACTTTTATCTGTAGCCTTAGCAGTATTTCAAATGCTGTAAATTGTACTTGACCTCATCTGCGATCTTTTGGATTCACGGTGTCGGTAAAGAATTATTAAGTTCCTTTGTTTATGATGTAGCAAATTCTCAAACTAAATGTATACAGGCTGTCCCGAAACTCAACGTCAAGCGGGCACCGGGTGAGAGGCCAACCCATACCTGTTCTGGTAAAAATAAGACAAAAATTCTGTATTTCTTAGTTAAGTGGTAATAGACATATTTTTGAAAACGTTAAAAATCGTTCCCGTACATCATATCTTTACGTACTACGCACAGTGGTCCGTTTACAACTTTTAGGGGGACAAAATTGCAACTTTTTTGCAATGAACTTTAGTTTAGAATTATCGTCGGATTACTGGAAAAATAGCAAATAAAATCTCACTAGTAAGGGGGTTGTTTTGAAGGGGTTAAAAAAAATTTCGCTCAAATATTCTGAAAACTTGTGAATGTGTTAATATTAATCTTGAGAATACAGAAAAAATAGTAAAAAGAATATCATGACTATGGGGGTTGTTTTTGAAAGGGATAAAAATTTTATGTGTGCAAAATAAAGTGGTAAACTATAAAAAAACGTTTCAAAAATGTAAAAAAGTAATATAAAAATATAATTCTAGAATATAATTCATAATAATTACCTAATAATCTAAATTACCCTTATTGGAAGAGTCACTTTCCGAATCTGTATAGCATTCTGATTGGGATTCAAGATTTATTGGCGAAGGTGGTTTATCAGGTGCTGGCGGGGTTTCTATTAGGTTCTTTACCTCTTCTGGTAATGTACCTACTTTTCTTTTAGGCAAGTCTCTCATGCTTGATATAACGGGATCCGATGACAAAAGGAGTGCGGGAAAAAGGTCTTCAATGTTCTTATGTTCTTCAATGTGTTATGCTCTCGATAATACTGACAATCTTTGTGTCGTGCTTCTAAAGCCTCTTCACTTAGGAGACCAATCGGAAGCAGAAGAGTGTCAATGACATCAGCACCGTGTAATAATATTTTGTGAACACTTGCTGGCATGTACAGTTTCACAAAAAATTGCGCAGTTTCATGAGTATACTTGCGGAATGTCTCTGTGCGTAACTTGTACCCACAAGATATTGTTTCAAGGATGATAGCAAAACGACTAGTTAAGGTTTCATCAACACCAGTAATTTTCGCTGATTTTCTTACATCCTTAAAAAATCGCCAAGCAGTATTACCATCATTTGTGGTTCCAGTGCCTTGCTTGACAGTATCAACCAGCAAACCCATTTCTTCCCGAAATTTGGAGATCACTTCGCGTTTCCTGTCTTCGAATGCATCTTTAGGTACTACGGTCAGAAATGTTCGCAATTTAATAGTGATTTTTTTAATAATGTATTCCTCATGAACCATGCTACTATAGCAGTCACAAATCGAACAACAAAAGTCGTTAGTTCTGCAAGAAAAGGTATTAGTTTGATTGAGTTAAGGTTGAAAGAATTTATGTCTATTCAGTTTGACAGACGATTTCTAAACAAAGAACTAGTACAACACCCTTGGCAAGTTATTTTAAAAGATGGCCTGTTTAGTCAAGATTCCAAAATGGTATAACACTTACCATTTTTCTTTTCCTAAAAAGTATTATTGCCTGCTTTTCTGCCAAAAATGCGTTATTTAAAAAATTTATACTTTCGTATGTTATTTATATTTCCTCCAAAATGTTTTAACAACTTTGTTAAAAGATGTGCCACTCAATATCTACAGAGAAATGTGGTTTCAACAAGGTTGCCCAGCTCATTATGCTTGTCCTGTACGGGATTGCATACAGAATACCCAGAAAGATGGATTGGGCGTCGTGGTTCGATTACCTCATTCTCTGGGTCTAAATCCCCTTGATTTTCTTATTAGGATTGCATAAAAGAAACAGTGTATTAAAAACTGATTGAAAATCTTGCCGAACTGCGCCACAATATTTATACAGCAGCAGAAGAAATAAATGCAAAGAGATTTGCACAACTAGTAAAAAGATCTTTTCTGTGACGATGCAGAGCTTCTATTAGTGCCGACGGCAAATAATTTGAGCATTTGCCTTAGTTTTAAGAAAATAATGCTATAAAATTAATAATAAATAAATTTGTTTGTTTAATTTTGTATTTAGGTTAACCTTATTTGAAAGAATCTTTTTGCAAGACATATGGACAACCATGTTGTTGAAACCACATTTTGTAGTTCGTAGATATTGACTGGCACATCTTCTAACAAAGTTAAGAGGAAATAAAAAGTAAATACAAATAACATACAAAAGTATGAATTTTTTAAATAACGTGTTTTTTTGCAGAAAAACAGGCAATAATATTTTTTATGACAAGAAAACTGGCAAGTGTTGTACCATTTTGGAAACTTGACTAAACAGGCCATCTTTTAAAATTACTTGCCAAGGGTGTTGTACTACTCCTTTTTTTAGAAATCGTGTGTCAAACTTGATAGACATAAATTCTTTCAACCTTAACTCAATCAAATTAATATTTTTTTTTGCAAAATTAACGATTTTTGTTGTTTGATTTGTGACTTCTACAGTGGCATGGTTCACAAGGAATACATTATTAAAAAAATCACTATTAAATTGCGAACATTTCTGACCGTAGTACCTAAAGATATAATCTACAGAACCGATTTTTAACGTTTTCAAAAATATGTCTATTACCACTTAACTAAGAGACATGGAATTTTTTTCTCATTTTTACCAGAACGGGTATGGGTTGGCCTCTCACCCGGTGCCCGCTTGACGTTGAGTTTCGGGACAACCAGCGAAAACAATGAATTCATTGTAATGTCTCTTTTTTTATTATTAAGAGTAATTGTATAATCATTAAATAGAAAAAATTCTAATTCCTCCGTTTGATGTGTTTTAATTTGTGCATAGTTTTGGGTGTTCATGAAGTCGTGGATTTCAATAAACAAGAGTCAACGTGTGCTTTTGTTGGTGTTATTTTCGTATGGTAAATAGACGCTTGGCAATAACTTCTCGTTGTTTATTGTGTCCAATCGGTGATCTTCCTCTGATAGTTATCAAAACAGGTATTCTGGAAGTTCATAGCAATTGATTGTAAATTATAAAATGACAGTACATATTACAACGAAGGAATTTGTTTTTCAGTTTTCATAAATCTTGCGCTAGTAAATGACATAACTTTACGATCTTGGTAGAGTATGGCTTTTATGTCACTTTTACTGGCGTAGGTTTGGAGGATGAATGTTTTCACTAGCTTTTGCTTGACACCCTCAACGTGGCCTATTGATTATTTTCGAAGTAGATTTGATGCACATTTTAGTTTTAACTATATCTTCTTTTGAATCTAATTTTTGTGTCGATTATAAAAACCGACTTCTCACATTCTCACAGCTGCAAGATATAAATAGCTTAAAAATGCGTAACATTTGACATAAAAAATAAGATATAAGAAATATTTTATATCTTACAATTAGTTTTTTAACATCAACTAATTATTATTTATTATTAAGGTATGTGTTAACTGTTCGTGCCGAAGACTGTGCTGCCGATTTAAATCCAAAATCTTCGGCTCGTTCGGATGCTGCTGAAGTGAAAATATCGGTGTCAGACATCAACGATAACCAACCGACGTTTTTGGACTCTCCGTACTTGGCTTATGTCATGGAAAATGAGATTCCACCTTACGGTGATCACGTTATTACTGTTAAGGCATACGATGCCGATACGCCACCTTTTAATTCCCTGGTACGATACTTTATCAAAGAGGGTGACACGGATTTGTTCAAAATCAATGCGTCCAGTGGTGAAATATCTTTATTGGGTCCTCTGGATCGAGAAATTCGTTCGGAATATACTCTTAGTTTAGTCGCAATGGATACAGGTGAGTTGATAAATAATTTAAAATGTATTTTATTCATCTATAACCGGTTATTTTTAATTCCTTTCTTCAGTTTTATACCTGGGCCCTTAATAATTGAGGTGTATGTAAATTTTGATGTATCTAAAGAGCGTATGTATGGTGCGATTTCAAGTGTATAGCCGGATTGTTCCATTGTTCCTCGGGCGCTTACCAAAAAGGGGGGCGAACTATTTTGGGACCCCGCCGCGTCGCTTTAATGACACGATGAGTTATGGGCCGCAATAAAATTATACGCCGGCGCGGATCGCACCGTCGCACTTCTTGGGCGTCGTTTTGCGGTCGGGCTTCCCGCGTTCAACTGTGGCCCGGAGCACAGGAGCGCCGCCGATGCGTCGTCCGTCGAACGCGCTCCGATGATAAATTTCGCCAATTTCTGGCAATACATTATCATAAATTAGAATTTTGGACGTCGCGTCCACGCAATTATCGGCGACTGCGCGGCCGCATATTTTTCGTCCTTTGGCAGATGTGTCAAAACTGTGCAGAAACGCGCCCGGGCGATCTCAATAAATCCACTTTGATTGTCCCGCGATATACGCGCGCGTTATCCTTACCACGCCACGCAACCAACCACCCCAACCGAAACGTTAAGACCCGTCAGGTTTTTTTACCCAGTTCGTTCGAGCTACTCCTCAACGATACGGCATACTTTCACGTGCTTTGGTCTCCTGCTGCCCAACAGGACTCGTTTACCGGCGTCATTATCTTACTTTATTGAGTACATTAAGCTGAAACGGTCTCTTTTACTTCTCCTATACTTTTTTTTCTCGAAATCTGAAACGTTTCCTTCCCGTCTTTAAGGTTCACCTCCCCTCACCGGCACCGGAATAGTCAAAATAATCGTACGAGACGTCAATGACCACAGCCCGGAGTTCAAAAGACAATCGTACGAAGCTTGGATTCCAGAAAACGTTGCTTCCGGAGCTTGGGTTTTAGCACCTACAGCTACAGATCTAGACGAGGGCCTAAATGCAATGATTAAGTATAGTTTAATTGGAGATAATTCCGAAAGATTTTCGATCGACCAATCTACCGGAGAAATTACCACTACCGTTCCACTCGATAGAGAAGAAAAATCTATTTATCGATTAACTTTGGTGGCTAGGGATTCTTCACCAACAGAACCTAAAGCTACATCTGTTAATTTAACCATAATGGTTAGTGATGAAAATGATAATTTCCCAAGATTTTCGTCTGGAATTTACAAAGTATATCTTCCTGAGGATATTAAAGAAGGACAATTTGTTTTTGGAGCAAAGGTAAATTATATTCTTTTTTAAACTATTTTTTTGACTTGTTAATTTTAAATTGCTAATATTTAAAAGATTGTATCTCTAGAAATAACTGAGATATCATGATGAAATAATATGCAGTTTAACGAAGACTTAATCCAGATAAATCTCAATACATATTACGATTTTTTGAATCCATCTTTACGTAATATTGATTATTTTTAAATTGTCAATTTTCAAAAGTTTGTAACTTAAGAATAAATAGAGATATCGCCATGAAATATGACGGATTTTAAAGTAAATTTAATGTAGATTCAGCACAGAAGAAATAATTTTTTGATTCCCGTAGATACTAAAGATACAATGTTTTGCAATAATCTTTGAGTAAAATGATAATTTTAGGAATTAAATTGTTAATATTTACAAAATTATATCTGCAGAACTAATTGAAATATCATGTTGAAATGAAATGCATTTTATCACAAACTTAATCCAAAATCGAAAATCCAAAAATCACATTTTAATTCCAATATATCTAAATGTCACAATTTTTTGAATTTATCTTGGTGTGATATTGATAATTTTAAATTGTCAATCTTTAAAAATTTATAACCCAAGTACTAATAGAGAGATTTCCATGAAATAGACAGTATTTTAAAGAAAAATTAATGTAGATTAAGCACAGAAAAATAACTTTTTCCTTTCTACAAATACTGAAGTTACGATGTTTTGAATTGATCTTTGCATAAACTGATAATTTTAGAGATTAAATTGTTAAGTTTTGAAAAATTGTAGCCAAAAAACTAACTGAGACATCACGATAAAATGAAATGCATTTTAACGCGAATTTAATCTAGAATAAACAAACCAAAAAGCATATTTTAATTGCAATAAGTCTGAATGATAATTTTTAATTCTCAATCTTTAGGAAATTGTAACTCCAGAACAAATAATTTTTTTTTCCTTTCTACAAATACTGAAGTTATGATGTTTTAAATTGATCTTTGCATAAACTGATAATTTTAGGAATTAAATTGTTAATTTTTGAAAAATTGCAGCCCAAGGACTAACTGAGATATCATGATAAAATGAAATGCATTTTAACGCGAATTTAATTTAGAATCAACAAACCAAAAAGCATATTTTAATTGCAATAAGTCTGAATGATAATTTTTAATTCTCAATCTTTAGGAAATTGTAACCCAAGTACAAATAGAGATATCGCTATGGAATAAACAGGATTTTAAAGCAAATTTAATCTAGGTTCAACACAAAAAGAAAACATTTTTTGATTCCCTTAGATACTGAAGTTACAATGTTTTTGCAATAATCTTTGAGTAAAATGATAATTATAATTTTAGGAGTTAAATTGTTAATCTTTAAAAAATTATATCTCTAGAACTAATTGAAATATCATGTTAAAATGAAATGCATTTTATCATAAATATATCTAAATGTCACAATTTTTTGAATTTATCTTTGTGTGATATTGATAATTTTAAACTGTCAATCTTTAAAAATTTGTAACCCAAGTACTAATAGAGATATTTCCATGCAATATAAAGCATTTTAAAGAAAATTTTATGTAGATTCAGCACAGAACAAAATTTTTTTTTCATTTCGAGAAATACTGAAGTTACGATGTTTTGAATTGATCTTGCAATGCATTTTATCATAAACTTAATCGAAAATCCAAAAATCACATTTTAATTCCAATATATCTAAATGTTGAATGTTAAATTGATAATTTTAAATTGACAATCTTTAAAAATTTGTAATCCAAGTAGTACTAATAGAGATATTTCCATAAAATAGAAAGCATTTTAAAGAAAATTTCATGTAGATTCAGAACAGAAGAAATTATTTTCTGCTTCCTATAAATGCTGAAGTGGCGATGTTTTGAATTTTTGCGTACAAATAATTTTTAGAGTTAAATTGTTATAATAATTTTCAACAAATTATGTCTCAAGAACTAACTGAGATATCATCACGAAATAGATATCATTTTAAAGCAAATTAAATATAGCCAACACATTTTTGAGAATAATATTAATCTAACTTTAATAATCATTTATTTTTAATAGGCGACAGACGAAGATGTTGGGGATAACGGAAAAATCACTTATTCCATAATTGGCGAACATTCAAATTATTTTCAAATTGAACCAGAAAGTGGTACCATCAGCGTAATCTCTCATCCACCAAAACCATTAAAATCGTCAACCGAATCCGTCTACAACGTCGAAATAGAAGCAAGCGATGGTGGGAAAACGCCAAAACGTGCAAGCGCCGAATTGAAAATTTTTTTAAGACCATTACATACCTTCCCAAGATTTTTGTCGCCTAGTGAAAATCAAAGACAATTCAAATTGGCCGAAGATACAAAAGAAGGAACTACAATCGCAAGATTAAGAGCAACATCCCCTAAGTCTGGTCCATCTTCAAACTTAAGATACTCAATCGCTGGTGGAAATATTGGAGACGCTTTAAGAATTGATGTCAACACCGGAGAAGTACAAATTACCGGAAGAGGTTTAGATTATGAGACTTCTACGCAGTATCGAGTTTGGATTGAAGCAGTTGATTCTGATGATCCTCCATTAAGAAGCGTTCTTCAAATAGTGATTAATGTTACGGATTCAAACGATAACATGCCGACTTTTTCAAGTCCTTTATATAATGCAACCGCGTTAGAAGAAGAATCACCGCCACAATTGGTCGTGAAAGTTTCTGCTAACGATTTAGATTCAAACGTTAACGGACAAGTTTCATACAGGTTATTAGACGATCATGAAGGATTTTTCGAAATTGATTCAGAAAGTGGAGAGATTTATACCGCTTCGGTTTTGGATAGAGAAGAAGTTTCTTCTTACGAACTTTTCGTTGAAGCTTACGATCACGGAAATCCTCAACTTTCAGGATCAACGGTTGTTCTTGTTACGGTTAGCGATAAAAATGATAATCCTCCAAGATTTACTCGATTATTCAGCGTAAACGTAACCGAAAATGCCGAAATTGGATCCTTTGTTATAAAAGTAACCAGTTCTGATAAAGATATAAATGGAAACGCAAACGCTACGTATGCTTTTGCCGAAAATCCGGGGAATAAATTTACGATTGATCCAATAACTGGGAATGTAACTGTTGCTGGACATTTAGATAGAGAACAACAGGATGAGTATTTATTAAAAGTTGCCGCTTTTGATGGTGCTTGGAGAGCTGAAACGCCTTTGACGGTTACTATTCAGGATCAAAACGATAACGCGCCAGAATTTGATCAGTCTTATTATAGTTTTAATTTCCCCGAACTTCAAAGAGATGTTGTTTTCGTCGGACAAGTTGTTGCAAATGATCGGGATAAACATGGTCCGAATTCAGTTATAAGTTATTCATTACAACGCCCCTCTGATTTATTCACTGTCGATCCAGCTTCGGGAGAAATCTTCAGCAAAAGAAGTCTTCGATATAAATACACCCAATTGGAATCTTCACCAGAAAATACTTATCCCCTTACGATTCTTGCAACAGATAACGGTAAACCACCGATGTCTTCAGAGTGTTTAGTTACAGTAAACGTTGTTGATGCTAATAATAATTCACCTAAATTCCTCGAAAATGAATATTTATCCCCAGTTCCAATTGATGCAACTCCAGGACAAAGACTACTTAAAGTATCTGCTATTGATTCCTCCGATTTTGGTGTTAACGCGGAAGTTAGCTATTCTTTGGAAAATGGGAATGGTACGGGATATTTTAATATTGATAAAACTAACGGTTGGATTACGCTAAACAGAAGGATTAACGCGGTTGGGGAAACTTTCATAATAAGAGTGAGAGCTACAGATGGAGGCGTTCCACCACAAAAAGATGAAGTAACTGTTACTATGATTGTAACCGGAGAGAATGAGCATCCGCCGACTTTCACCGCGTTGCGTTATCAAGTTTTCGTACCGGAAAATGAGCCTTTGGGTTCAACAATTTTAACAGTTAGCGCTTCGGATATTGATAGAGGTCCAAATGGAATGATCCGATACGAAATTTCCAACGGAAATGAAAAGAATCAATTTGCAATCGACCCAATTTCTGGAATTATTACGATTCTTGAGCCATTAGATTACGATAGTATTCAGGAATATCGATTAAACATAACCGCTCATGATTTAGGGTTTAGATCGAAAAAAGCAACCGCAACAATAACAATTACATTGACTGATATTAACGATAATGTTCCAACGTTTAATCAAACGTCATACGAAGCCTCCATAGCGGAAAATATGCTTCCGGGAAGTTTCGTTTTTAAAGTAATGGCTAAAGATAACGATTCCCCGAAAAACGCGATAATAAAATATTCGATTGTTGGTGGAAGCGGAAGAGAAGTTTTCCAAATCGATCAAGATTCAGGAGAGATTACAACGAAAATCAGTTTTGATTACGAAGAAAACAACGGATATGAATTAAACATAGTTGCTGCAAATCCCGATTCGAGTATGTACGGAGAAACACTTTTGGTTGTATCAATTACGGGGATTAATGAGTTTTACCCGAGATTTACACGTTCAGTGTTCCACTTTGATGTTTCCGAATCAACGGAAGTTGGAACTAGCGTTGGAACAGTCCAAGCAACCGATCAAGATGCAGGAGAAGATGGAAAAGTTTATTATCTTTTCGTTGGATCAAGTAATGATAGGGGTTTTGTTATAAACGCGGAAACCGGTACAATAAGTGTTTCAAGAAACCTCGATCGAGAAACGCAAAGTCGAGTTGTACTCACAGTCTTGGCGAAAAACGCGGGTGGTATTCGAGGGAACGATACTGATGAAGCACAAGTAATAGTTTCGATCCAAGATGGAAATGATCCTCCAGAATTTTTAGAAGATGTATATGAAGCTCAAATATCAGAAGGCGCTTCTATAGGAACACCTGTAATCGCAGTAAAAGCTATCGATAAAGATGTTCGATCCCAAAATAATCAATTCGGATACTCCATAATAGCAGGAAACATCGATCGAGCTTTCAAAATAGATCCCCAAAATGGGCAAATAGAAACCGCGCGATATTTAGATAGAGAAACCGTTCCATCTTACGATTTAATCATTGGGGCAATCGATACAGGTGCTCCTCCGGAAACTGGAACGACCACAGTTAAAGTTCACATCGGCGATATTAACGACAACAGCCCGATATTTGAACCATCTCCCCCAACAGGAAAAATAATGGAAAATGAACCCGCCAATTCAAAAATAATGACATTAACAGCAAAAGATCCCGATTTACCTCCAAATGGGGCTCCGTTTTCGTATCGGTTAGTTGGAGGCCGCCATCAAGATTACGTCAAAGTCGATCAACACACCGGAAGTGTTTTCACAACGAAACCAATCGATCGAGAAATAACACCCGAGTTAAACATATTAATTGAAGTTGAAGATAGCGGAGTTCCTAAATTGCGATCGCAACACGCTGTTAAAATACAAGTTTTAGACCAAAACGATTGCTCGTCATCCCCAAGAAGTGTCCATGTCCTAGTACATGGTTTCGAAGGCGTTCCAATAGGAAGAATCGCCGATGTTCGTCCAAACGACCCCGATACAACCGGAGATTATAGATGCAAAATTATCCAGCAAAATCAAAACGCCCAATCAGTTTTTAGCATCCCTAATAATAATTGTGATTTACACGCCAGCGAGGTAACCCCAAAACAAGGTTATTCCCTCACGATTCTTGGAAACGACGGAAGACATCAAGATGTTGTCTCAACGGTAACCGTCGAGTTTATGTTATTTAATAACTTAACAATTGAGAATTCGATTACGATTAAAATTTTAAATTTAACCACTCAAAGTTTTCTTATAAATTACTACAAAAGTTTCTTGGATATGCTAAAAACCTCGTTGAGTCCTAATGAACAAATCCTTTTATACCGATTAGATAAAAATGAAGATGATGGCATTGAATTAACTTTAGCGATCAAACACTCGAATAATTATCGCGATAAAAATTACGTTATTAAAAAATTGTTGAATAAAAAACCCGCAATGAATGCTTTATTCCAAATGGAGGATGGAATTACGATCGGATACTCACCGTGTAAATCTGATACCTGTGAAAATGGGGGAGTTTGCGATGCTGCGCTCGAAATTAAACCGGGGACAACTTCAATTACGGATACTCAAAACATTATTTTTTCTTCTCCAACGATCACCCATGATTATTCTTGTCAATGTTTAGAAGGATTTGCGGGGAAGAATTGTAGTAAACGTCGCGATCCATGCGTTCCTAATCCTTGTATGGCTGGGGGACAATGTAGGAGACAAGGTATTTCTTGGTATGATTTCCAATGCGTTTGTTTACCATCTCGAGATGGAAAACGGTGCGAAAATGAACGAGGCGATGTTTGCTCGATGAATCCTTGCCAAAACGGAGGAAGTTGCCAAGAAAGTCCAGACGGTTCCTCATTCTTCTGTTTATGTAGACCTGGATATAAAGGAACAAGATGTGAAATTCTCGTGGATACTTGCAGACCAAATCCATGTTTACACGGGGGATTATGTGTTAGTTTAAAACCGGGGTATAGATGTAGTTGTACTGAAGGTCGATATGGAAGACATTGCGAAAAATCAACGTATGGTTTTAAGGAACTCTCATTTATGAGTTTCCCTTCGTTGGATGCGGCTACGAATGACATCACTTTTATATTTGCAACTACAAAATCGAACGCACTTTTAGCGTATAATTTTGGATCACAAACCGGAGGTCGAAGTGATTTCGTCGCCGTTGAAATAGTTAGTGGAAAAGCTGTGTTCTCTTTTGGTGGTGCAAGAACTGCAATAACATCAGTTGGAGTCGTAGGAAACAGCGGAAACTTAGCCGACGGAAAATGGCACAAAATAACAGCAACAAGAAATGGACGAGTGATATCTTTAAGCGTTGCTGATTGTACCGATCACGGTGATGTTTGCGAAGAATGTCGTCCTGGAGATGTGAGTTGTTACGCGGATGATATGGGACCAACAGGAACGTTAAATTTCAACAATCATCCGCTTTATATTGGTGGGATAAGCAGCGCGGATCCGATTTTAGAAAGACCAGATCAAGTACATTCAGATGATTTAATCGGTTGCGTCCATTCCGTATCGATAAATGGGAGAGCTTTAAATTTTAGTAATCCAATTGATTCCCAAGGAATCGAAAATAGTTGTACTCGTAAAGAAAATAGTTTGAATAAAGAAGGATGTATAGATCGTTGGGATACATTTAGTTGTAATTGCGGAAATGGCTTGTACGCCCCAAATTGTGAAGCTTTAGAATCAATTGAAATTTCCGGAGATGGTTACATTGAATTCGAAATCTCAAAGAAACATAAAACGATGCAACTTTTAGATTCTTTTTATCAAGGCGGAACTTCTCCGAGCACAATTAGTCTATTATTTAGAACGACTAAAGGTGATGCCGTTTTGTTTTATGCTAGCAGTAATAAACATTACACTTCCGTTGAATTAAGAAACGGGCAATTAACTTATATTAGTAAATCTTCACCTGTTGTAAATATGACGGGGTCTCATAACACCGTAACAGATGGAAAATGGCATAATTTAACTTTGTATTCATACCAAAGAGTAATTAAAATATATTTAGACGGTGTTCAATTGGGCGACGAATTAGATTCAATTGGAGTTCACGACTTTTTAGATCCGTACTTAACTTACTTATCTTTGGGTGGAGTACGAGGAGATGTGTACTTCACCGGCAGAAAATCTTCATTCCTTGAAGGTTGCCTAGCCAATTTTACAATCAACAACGAAATCCAACCATTCGCCGGATTCGGAAGCATATTTAACACGGTAACAAATCACGGAAAATTCAAAAAAGGATGCTCTCAAAAGGATGGTGGGAATCCCGCTGGAAGCACAGATCCTCTCAACATCGGAATCACCCTCGTAATCGTCTTTTTCGTCGTCCTTCTCGTCGCCATCTTAGTTTCTTTCGTCGTGTTCAGATTGAGAAAACAAGGAAGAGAAAACCACGGTAGTTTAAAGCAAAATGGAAATGCCTCGATGATTTCATCCGGATTGGTTAATTCGGTCGTTTCTGATTCAGTTCTTAACAGAAGCGTTCACGGAAACGATAATTCAATGTATCATCATGGTGAAAGCACCGATATGATCAATTCGTTAGTGAGCAAGAAATTTAAAGAACGAGAAATCTTACAGAATGAAATTCCGAGACCTCAACGACCCGATATCATCGAAAGAGAAGTTATGACGAAAAATCCCCCACTTCCCCCTACAAATAATCACGGACATGATCACGTTCCAAACGATATCAATTCGGAAATGCTTCCGGAACATTACGATTTAGAAAATGCGAGTTCTATTGCTCCGTCGGATATCGATATTGTTTATCATTACCAAGGATATCGAGAAGCTGCCGCTGGTGTTCGAAAATTTAAAGCTCCCGTTAGCGGGTATCATCACAAACATACCAATTCACAAGCTCAAGGGCAACATAGACATTCTCCACATCATCCAACAGGGTACTTAATTAAATTATTAAAAAAGATACTTATTAAATTAACCAAAAAATTTTTTTTAGATTTCCACCACGTGCTCCCCCTGTAACAAATCATCCAGCTTCAAGACCACCTCATCAAAGTACACCTTTAGCAAGATTAAGTCCGAGTAGTGAATTAAGTGCTCAACAACCGCGAATATTAACTCTTCACGATATAAGTGGAAAACCCCTTCAAAGTGCGCTTTTAGCAACAACTTCCAGTTCGGGTGGAGTTGGAAAAGACGTTCTACATAGTAACAGCGAACGAAGTCTTAATAGTCCTGTTATGTCTCAATTGAGTGGGCAAAGTTCGAATAACGGTCGAAAAGTGGCCGGTCCTCCACCTCCTGTTACATCAGCCGGTTTAACGGCCGAAGAAATCGAAAGACTTAATTCTCGACCGAGAACTTCGAGTTTAGTGTCGACTCTAGACGCGGTTTCTAGTTCAAGTGAAGCTCCGAGACCCCCGGTTTCTAATCACCATTTAAATCATATGAGACATTCTTCTCCGGCGGCTCCTCCAGATGCGCGGAGAAGTCCGTCGACTACCGATGACGAAGAAAGCGGAAATGATAGTTTTACGTGTTCTGAAATAGAATATGACAATGCTAGTCTTGCCGGTGAAGACACCAAATATAAACCGAACGAATCGGAAAGTCGCAGTCGAAGTGATTCTAGTAACAAAAATAATATTCCTCCGCCGTCTTATGATGGTTTTGATTCGACTTCTTATAGAGGATCGATGAGTACATTGGTAGCATCGGATGATGATTTAGGTGGACCTATGTATCGACCTCCAGGTTCGGCGGGTTCCCCAGCTACAGCAACGGGATTAGGATGGGATTATCTTTTAAATTGGGGTCCAAATTTTGAATCTTTAGCAGGTGTTTTTAAAGATATTGCAGAATTACCAGATAGTGTTAACGGGAGAGTGTCGAACTCTTTAAGACTGACAAATGCCACAAAACCATCTGAAGAATATGTGTAATAGTATTTTAAATAAACTAGTTTATATACGAAAAGACAATGAAAAAGCCATGTATTATAATAAGTGTAAATATTTCTTTTTATAAAACAAAAGTGAGTCAAGTATTTTTTTTATAAGTTGTAAGTTTTAAATGTGAGACCTTGCATCAAGGGCTCGTTCGAAATCTTTTAGAAACTTCTAATTATTATTTTGCGTCAATTTAGAAAATTTTAACTAAAACTTTTACGTCTTGCCATAAGAGAACGAACGACTGCATTGTGTGTCATATACGAAAAAAAGGACGGAAATCTGTATATATTTTTGTAAATTATATTTGTGAAAAAAAGACATCTTGTTGTAATACCACTTAATACTATTTTTTGTTTCCTTTAATTTCGATGTACATAAAAGTGAAAAAATAAGAAAATTTTGAAATACAATAAAAATAATTCACGAATTTTTAAAATTGTGTTTTTGTCTTTTTGTGTTTAATTTAGGTTGAGAAGAGTCACGTTACAAAAACTATACGGTAGACTCCCGATATGTCACTGGAATGTTAACACAATTCATAACAACATGTTGAACAGTGAAAAACACTAAAAGCCTTGTTTATAGATGTCATACCCCTGGCACTTATTAACGTCGTGTTCGTACACTCGTGATCTTTTAAATGAAAATTAAAGAAGGATGGCTAGCTCGAAGTCGGGGAAGGTCGGGTTGGTTTACTTTGAAACCCTGCGCAAGGCTAAGGGGCCGGAGTAATCACGACGGACAAAGCAGGTAGAGAAGGAGTAATTTAGAATTTGTCACTACGGGATTTTTAAATAGGTTTATTATAATAGAAACCAGCTAAATATTGGATTAAATTATCGAAAATAGCATAATAAATTATTTAATGTATTAAAAATATAATGTTTTATTAAAAAATGATTTTTGGAAAACAAATAAAAATTGTTCCTAATTTAAATCAATTTTATGATAACTATTAAAATATAAATACAGAAAAAATATTAAATGATAATATTATTACAGTAAAACTTAATTTAGATGATTTTCGAACAATTGATGTGTTTCAATTATTGTTTCTAATTTAAATCAATTTCATGATGATAATATATTAAGATATTAATACTGATTAATTATTAATATTATTACAGTGTGATTCAAAACTTCTTTTATCAAAAGTTAAAAAACGTAGAANTACACGGTCAATAGTATTATCAATATCCCCTCCAATTTTCAGTATTGATGCCCGAAAATCAAAAAATCCAGATTTTTATCAATACTCCATCAATATTTACCGTCACTAAAATTTTTTACCTTACACTGTCAATATTATTGTCAATATGCTAAGGTGTTGTCAATATTGATCGTGTAAGGGCCGCTTTAGAAAAGCATACTTAAGAAATGAAAAATATTGATTGCGCTTCTAAAATGCAATAAAAAATCGTTCAAAATACTTTCCCCCTTTATACGATGAAAGTTTTATGAAACTTTTTTGATAAAATTGATGTTTTCTGAGTTATTATTAGGTAGTCTCAATTTCAATGCCTTACTCAGTATATGAAATATAGTCTTTTAAAAAAACTTCTTAAAAAGATTCAACGCAGTTGGTGTCTTCTTATAAAAACAGTTCCTTACACGGTCAATATTGATAACACCTTAGCATATTGAGAATAATATTGACAGTGTAAGGTAAAAAATTTTAGTGACGATAAATATTGATGGAGTATTGACAAAAATCCGGATTTTTTTATTTTCGCGCATCAATACTGAAAAATGTTGAAATTTTCAACTTGTTCATTACAGGTTGAGGGTTATTATAATTTGTCAAACACTGCTGCGCGGAATTGTGCGTGTCTGTGCACCACGCACCACGACGCATCTATCAATGACGACGCTAAGAGGAAACCTGAAATCATCTCTCATTATAATAAAACAAAGGGCGGTGTTGACGCCATGGATTAAATGGTGTCGACATACACGTGCAAGAGGCAAAGTAAACGATGTCCCATGACATTTTTCTTCAACATCATTGATATTGCAGCACTCAATGCATATATAGTCTTTACGAAGGAACATCCAAACTACAACATAAGAGTGACTCACAAACGCAGAATGTTTTTGAAAGATTTAGCGAAGGAACTAGTGATACCACATATGCAGAGAAGATCTACTAACCTAGAGCGTACTGTCCGGGAGTGTATGAGCAGATTTATTGATATATGTGGTCCGCCAGTATGACCCGCAAGTATTGGTCGTAAAAGCACAATGGTATATATTACTTGTAAAAATAATATCTGTAATGAGCATAGTATTAGAATGCGCACTAAATGCTTCTCTAATCCCTAAAAACAATAAACAATTATGTTTTTTTAACAATAATTTTCACTTTCATATTTAACCTCACGTTTGTAACGTACATATGCATAAATAAATAAAGTTTTACTTCAATAACTTTGTTTCTGTTCTGACTACACGTGATTTTATACAGGGTCATCCACGACGACCGTCCATTAGAACTATACGGGGTTCTGGGCAAAATAAAAATTTGAAACTTTAAATGTAAGTATTATCAATTGCGTTCTCTTCGACTAAAATATTTTCAGATTTCTAGCATTTCCGGTTATACCGGTAGTCGCTACCTACTTTATTTTTTTAAATGGAACAGCCTGTATATTTATACATATTTAGATTTTTCTGTTTTCTAGGTTTACGAATAACTTTACGTTTTGCAATTTTATTCGGCCGTTCTCGAGTTATTCGAATTTTTCTAGAAAAATCTGCTCTAGCAGATATTTGTTCAAAAAATCAGAGAACAGTCGATTTTTAGGATATCAATTTAGGATTCAGAACACGCTTAAGCAACATGATGGAGAATGTTTTGCTGCCGAGTACGGCTGTCTAGAACGTTTGATCACTTTACTATGGCACGTTAACTTTTTGCAACCTGGAAGTACCATAACTTATTTTTTTTAAATGGCAGCCCCCATATTTTATTATGTAGTCGTCTTCGGTGCCTCATTTTACATCTTTTATTGTGAGATAATTAGGGTTTTTTGACCTATCATAACGATATTTAACCAAGTGTGCCATGAATACCTAGTGTGACTTAATCAATAACTCATTTGGTTATTCAGTTCTCGAGAAGTCGCAACGCTGCCACCAACACATTGCGTAAAATTTCTTTCTATCTCTCAGAGTTTAAGTTTTCATCGTAACGAAGACCGATAAAATTCCAGTTAATGTTCTTGATTCCAGAGAAAATGTTCCAAATTCCCAGCAATTTTTTAATAGCCTGTGTACATTACCCTTAGTTGGTACGGGATGAGTTGGAAATTCATGGAAATCGTACGACAATTATTTGGTTGCACCCTCTATAAATTATTATCAGGTTCAAATAAACCATAGCAATAGCAAATGTCAAACTGTTTATTTTTTCCTTCTTGATCCTCCGATGATACATAAACACCACAACATTTTTTTTTCTGGCGGTCAGAGTAGTAGATTTATAAATTATAGCAAGTAAATAATTAAAATCTCAAAAATGACTCCACTTAGGTATGTAACATACAAGTGGCCTAAAATTGAACAAAAATTTCAAAAATGTAATAAAATAAAGGCTGTTCTATTTGAAATATGAAAATTGTCACCTCTTCCGGTGTAACCACAAGTACCCGAAACTTGAAAATATTTTAGTTAAAAAGCTGGCATCAAACATCACAAGTCTGCAAATTTTGAAACCCCCACTTCATTTGGTTATTCACTAGGTCACACTAGGCACTTAATTCATGGCACACTAGGTTAAATACCGATATGATATGTGAGCATTTTTCAAAAAACCCTAATTATCTCCCAAACTATAAATATTAGGTATAGGACATATGGGATATAAAAGATGTAAAATGAGACACTGAAGACGACTAAGTAATAAAACATGGGGGTGCCATTTAAAAAAATGAAGTTATTGTACTTCCAAGTTTCGAAAAGTTACCGTGCCATAGTAAAGTGACCAAACGTTCTAGACAGCCGTACTCGGCACCAAAACATACTCCATCATGTTGCTTAAGCATATTCTGAATGCTAAATTGATATCCCAAAAATCGAGTGTTCTCTGATGTTTTGAACAAATGTCTGCTGGAGCCATAAAAGTAATAAGCCATATAAAGTAATATTATAATACTATTCAACTTAATACACTAGAAAAATAGTTTTCAATAATATTTGGGATATGTATCCTAAATATATTATAGAAATTTGTTATTAAATGAAGATACTGAAGTTTAAAACTATCTTTATTACTTTACTTTCACTGTATGTACTGGGTGTTCCGATAATTGTACGGCTGTATCTTGACAATGGTAAGGTCCGTTGAGTAAACATACTTTATAAGATTATCCAAGTCCCTATAAACGCTGTTGTTATTAACACACCCCCCCGCAAAGGCCTTGCTGTGACGTCATTGGAAGAATTAACATTTCTATATTTTTATTTATACAGTGCATTTCACATAAAAAGTAATACACAAAAATATAAAGATATTAAAAATGCGAGATAATCGTAAAGAATTCGAATTATTTTAAAATTAATAAAAATTAGGTTAGAATTGATAAGAAAATCGAAATAAAATTTTATTATTTTAAGGTTATCCAACTTGACTCGGTTACCATGGTGATTAAGATCCAAACATTACAGTTGCTTGTCAAAACTGACGTTGAATTTAAGTTTTTTTAATGAAAAACACATAATTAATTAGATTTAAAGGTTGTATTTCATTCAAAATGGGTAAATGGATGAAATTATAAGCAAGGTAAGTGGATTAAATCAAAGAAAAATATTTTTAGATCAATTAAAATGTACAAAATTTAGGGTTAAATAACAATTAAAACTAGAACTAACACTAGACCTAGAGCTAAAAAGTTTTAGGTTTAGCCGGATGTCTTAGATGAATGTTTATAAATAATTTGTTGAGATTTTTGTGATAGTACTAGTGTACAACTAGAACTAACACTAGACCTAACCTAAGACTTATTCGAATGGTGGTTTTAATTTTACGCATGAGCATTTAAAATGTTAGTGACGGGACTTTGAAGTTGCTGAACCAAATAAGATAAAGTATGATCGTCGTATTTTCTAATGTTTACAATACTAGTAACAAAATAGTGCACGTTGGCCACGAGTACCACAAAACATGTTAATATTAGTGGACCTCCCTCTAACAAAACAAGAGTACAGTCTTACAGGTTTGTAACTCTAATAATGAAGAAAGTTTATTACTGTAAGTTGGTAGCGAATCTCCTCAAAAACAGATGTTTTATCGATTGTTTTCGACGATGAAAAAGCAATTTTTGTATTAAGAAATACTTTCTATAAACGATTGATGTAACGATGAAAACAGGTAGACAAAACGATTAAAATACATTTAAATAAAGTATTTAATAATAGTATAT